GTATGTAATTTATCCTCTGTATAAATTTAGGGATGATTTAATGTTTGGAGAACATCATTTATTTAAAACACCTGATGGTGGCGCTGTGAGGGGAGCTGCTACATGAAACAGAAGAAGAATCCGGAAGTGACGGAACATCTGTCCGCGCGGTGCTTCCTCAGGTGTTTGCTGACAGCTGCAGGTGGATTCATGACGGCTCAAGTGAGTTTCACCTGCAGGAACATGTCCGCCAGACTTCATTCAGATTCTGTCTGATTTTAGCTCCGTTCGGTCGGTCAGATGAACGGAACCCGCTGAACAAATCCATTAAAACATCTGAACTGATGAGTGTATTTTAGCCGAATTACAGAGGGACTCTGGATGAWCCAGGTGGTTCGGTCTGACTGGGTTCATACTCACCTGTTGGTGTTAAACCCGGAAATGTTTCAATTCTGTTGTATCCTAACGGAGTTCTGAATGAGACAAAATTCTGTCAGTAAAGATCTCGTGATGATCGCGAGGAGCCGATCAGCTGATCAGGTCACTCCACGTGGGCTTTAAAGGTTCGGGTCAGGGGCCCTCAAGAGAAGATAGTTAATGAGTTAACATGTTTCCTCGGTTACTAGTTAACTGATAGCATGTCAATGATGTAACCTCAGTAACATGTTAATGAGTTAACACCATCATGAGTTAACATCTTAATTTGTTAACAAGTAATTGAGTTAACATTGTAAACAGTTAGAAAGTTAATGAGTTAACTAGTCACTGAGATAACATCTTAATAGGTTAACTAGTTATTGAATTAACATCTTAATGAGTTAACAAGTCATTGAGTTAACATAGTTAAAAAGATAATGAGTTAACCTGGTAATAAGTTAACATGTTAATGAGTTAACATGGAATTGGGTTAACATGTTAACGGGTTAACTAGTCGTTAAGTTAACAATGATGTAATGAGTTCATGAGTTAACTACTTGATGAGTTAACATGTCAATGAGTTAACTAGTCAACATGGAATTGGGCTAACATGTTATCAAGTTAACTAATCATTGAGGGAACGTGTTAAAAGTTAAGTAAATGGGTTAACCTTTTAATGGTGTAATGAGTTCATGAGTTAACTACTTATTGAGTTAACATGTTAATGAGGTAGTGAGTTCATGAGGTAACTAACAAGTTATGTCAATGAGTTAACATCTTATTGTGTTAACTAGGCATTGAGTTAACATGTTAATGAGTTAAGTCAATGGATTAACCTGTTAATGGTGTAATGAGTTCATGAGTTAACTACTCAATGAGTTAACATGTCAGTGAGTTAATATGTTAATATGTTAACTAGTCATTGAGTTAGCATGTTAATGGGATAATGTGTTCATGGGGTAACTAGTTAATTAGTTAACTAGTCATTGAGTTAACATGTTAATGAAGTAATGACTTCATAAGTTAACTAGTTAATGAGTTAACTAGTCATTGAGTAAACATGTTAATGAAGTAATGAGTTCATGAGGTAACTAGTTAATGAGTTAACTAGTCATCGAGTTAACATGTTAATGAAGTAATAAATTAATGAGGTAACTAGTTAATGACTCATTGAGTTAACATGTTAATGAAGTAATAAATTAATGAGGTAACTAG